CTTGTCCATTTAGCCCGCTTGGCCTCCTGCGTCAGCACTGACACTTGTTCCTTCCTGGCCTGAGCAAAAGTCATGGTTGGCAGTTGTCCACTGCTGGGAGACAGCTGATCGGAAGGTGCTCCATTAAAAGGATGCACTGATTTGTTCTCCTGAAATCATCTTCGCACCTACCTCCTCCTATTGAGGTTTGATCATCCAGGTTGAAATGCTCTTCAATGATAAGATTAAACTAAGAGCACAGACCCTTTTAAAGATATTGCTTGATTGATAACAGAAAGCCAAACAAATAGAATTGAGAACAAGCCTGCTTTTTTTGGTACAAATATAATGAAACATGCCTTGGAGAGCCTGGTAAGGCAGGAATCACTCAACAGCTAAGAGTAGGGCATCAGTAAATGCTGTCCCATGGGAGCTTTGCTTGGTGGGATTTTGTATATTTATTTTTGTTTGGTCCATTCCTAATCACAGATGCTGCAAATGGCAGAAAGCAAGGAGACATTTGTGGCTCCAGGGCTTTCCTAGGAAAGCTCCACAGCACTGAATAGTCAGCAAGCAGCAGCTGGTACAAAGCTTCCTGATTAGCCTGCGGGAAGGCAGCGAAATATTTTGTGTACTTGGGCTATTAATGGAAACAAATGGTGATTTCAAGTTTGTGTTACTGAACAGATGATGCTGAAGCCTTGAGGGATGGCTAAGTCTTCACCGAGGGACACTTTCATTTTGGAGAATGATATTTATCAACCAGGAGGAGGTGAGCATCATAAGGAAAAACTTTGCTTCTGTGGGAGTTCTTGTAATGCTGGAGTCTAATTTATTTATTTATATTCTGCTTGGTTCCCCAAGTTATTTAAGCCAATTTTTGAAATAAGATGTGATACAACTAAGTGAGCCAGTTGAGCAAAAGAGAAAGATGGAAAAATAGTGAATATGGAAAGAGGCTAGTTTTCACCTTGCATAGTTGAGGTTGCCCTAATGTGCACAGAAGAGGGGCCATGGAATTGGCTTTGAGCTTTTAGGACTTCAGCTTTTAGGAGGACAACATGATGAGTTATTCCTTCAGTGTCAGTGGGAAGAAAACAAGCCCATTGCTTAGGCAAAGCACTGTTATTCTACACTGTGTAGTAAGAAAAATTTGACTGAAAGGTTAATAAATATTTACAAGTTTGGAGGGACACTGACTAATAAATATTTGAGCCTGATGGGCATCACCTCTAATTAATTTCTTGAAGGACATACTTTGAAAATGTGATGACTAACACTGTAGTCCTAAAAGTGCCAAAAGTTATTCTTAAATATGCCTACCAAAGTAGCCCACTCCCAAATGGGAGTAAATCTAAATGGAAAGAATTTTAAAGTATAGCTGCTGTATGTACAATATTATTTGTTACAGGTGTACAATATAGTGATTCACAATTTTTAAGGTTGTATTCCATTTATAGTTATTATAAAATATTGTCTATATTTCCCATGCTGTACAGTATGTCCTTATAGCTCATTTTATACCTAATAGTTTGTACTTCTTATTCCTATATTGCTCCCCACCACTAATGGTAACTACACATTTGTTCTCTATATTGGTGAGTCTGCTTCTTTTTTGTTATATGTGAATATAGTTTGCTGTATTTTGCTTTATTTTTTATATTCCACATATAAGTGGTATTAAAAACATTTAAAATATTTAGCAACATTAATGGAAAGGAAACTTAATGACATATGACAAATGACATATCAATCTAAATTGAGTAGTGGTAAATTTACTCAATACTGCAAAGATGGGTATGCTTTAGAAGCAGGTCTTTTATTAATACAAAGCCTCCCTGGCAGTTATAACTGTGGTCTCTCAGTGAAATCAAAGCAAAGCAACCCTGAACCACAGCTCTCTTCACTCTTCTTATTTAACTTCTCAGTCTAAACTGAAAGGAGCTGCCTGTTTGTGAGGCAATCTCTGTATTTCAGGAAGATCCCCTGGAGGAGGGGATGGCAACCCATTCCAGTATTCTCACCTGGAGAATCCCTATGGACAGAGGAGCCTGGTGGGCTACAGTCCATGAGGTCACATTACTGAAGTGACTTAGCCTGCATGCACTCCATCTTTACCCCTGCCAGTTCATTCTCTTTTTCTTTTGGGTACGAGAATCATTTTAGACTGAAACTCATCATGGACCTAGCTGTGCATATAAACGCTGATGCTTAATCAACCATTTATTTTTCTCTTATTTTATCCTGCATGCAACTTTTACCTTGCCACTTCAGCCTACTTTAAAACAACCTAGAGGATGGATTCAACCATACCTACAGGACCATAAAAATATGATAACAGTATCTCTTTATGGTAAAGGTCAGTTTTCATTCCAATCCCAAAGAAAGGCAATGCCAAAGAATGTTCAAACTATCACACAATTGCACTCATCTCACATGCGAGGAAAGTAATGCATCTCACATGCGAGGAAAGTAATGCTCAAAATTCTCCAAGCCAGGCTTCAACAGTATGTGAACTGTGAAATTCCAGATGTCCCAGCTGGATTTAGAAAAGTCAGAGGAACCAGAGATCAAATTGCCAACATCCATTGGGTCATAGAAAAAGCAAGAGAATTTCAGAAAAATATCTACTTCTGCTTTATTGACTATGCCAAAGCCTTTGACTGTGTAGATCACAACAAACTGGAAATTTCTTCAAGAGATGGGAATACCAGACCACCTTACCTGCTTCCTAAGAAACCTGTATGCAGGTCAAGAAGCAAAGGGTTAGAATGAGACATGGAACAACAGACTGGTTCCAAGTTGGGAAAGCAGTACATCAAAGCTATATAGTGTCACTCTGCTTATTTAACTTATATGCAGAGTACATCATGCGAAATGCCCGTCTGGATGAAGCACAAGCTGGAGTCAAGATTGCCAGGAGAAATATCAATAACCTCAGATATGCAGATGACACCACTCTTATGTCAGAAAACGAAAAATAACTAACGAGCCTCTTGATGAAAGTGAAAGAGGAGAGTGAAAAGGCTGGTTTAAAACTCAACACTCAAAAAATGAAGCTCATGGCATCCACTCCCATCACTTCATGGCATCTGATTGCAGCCATGAAATTAAAAGACACATGCTTCTTGGAAGGAAAGATATGACCAACCTAGACAGCATATTAAAAAGTAGAGACATTACTTTGCCATCAAAGGTCTGTCTAGTCAAAGCTATGTTTTTTCCAGTAGTCATGCATGAATGTGAGAGTCGGATTATAAAGAAAACTGAGCACTGAAGTATTAATGCTCTTGAACTGTGGTGCTGGAGAAAACTCTTGAGAGTCTCTTGGACCACAAAGCAATTAAACCAGTCAATCCTTAAGGAAATCAGTCCTGAATATTCATTAGAAGGACTGTTGTTGAAGCTGAAACTCCAATACTTCCACCTGATGTGAAGAACTGACTCTTTGGAAAAGACCCTGATGCTGGGAATGATTGAAGGCAGGAGGAGAAGGGGATGACAGAAGATGAGATGGTTGGATGGCATTACTAACTCAATGGACATGAGTTTGAACAGGCTCCGTGAGTTAGTGATGGACAGGGAGACCTGGGGTGCTGCAGTCCATGGGGTCACAAAGAGTCAGACACGACTGAGTGACTGAACTCAACTGAAATGTTCATCTCGAGTAAGGGTGTGGGCTAGGAAAGGAGCTATTGATGATGATCAGTTGGGGGTTAAGTAGACCTCATCCAAGAGGGGATATCTTTTCTTTTTATGTAGGAGGGTTGGAAGAGTTTGCAACAAAGTGGATGGACCTAGACAGTATTTTGCTTAGTGAAATAAGTCAGTCAGAGAAAGACAGATATTATGTGATTTCACTTATATGTAGAATCTAAAAAAAATGAAGAGACGTAAAACAGAAGAATTATAGAGAACAAATTCACAGTTCTATCTTTAGCTTTTTGAGGAATCTTCATACTCTTTTTTTTGCATTGTGGCTGCACCAAGGGGTGCCATCCCCTTTTTCAGCATCCCAAATACCAAGCTTATCTGTCTCCTCCACCTGTATATTCAATATCTGTTTCTATGCCTCTTTTATTTCCTGAAAATAGTACCAATAAAGTACACCATATTATTTGTGTCTTTTTTTTTCTTTCACTTAGTAACAAATCTTGGACTTCTTTCTACAATGCTAAAGTGCATACATACCTGGGTCATTCTTTCAATGGCTGTATATAATTACATTAATTGGATACACTAAACATCATTTAACCATTGCTTTACCGATATAAATTTAGATTGCTTTAAATTTTTTTCTATTATAAGAGACTATATAATGAACATCCTTGTACTGGGTCTTGGTGAACTTTGAGAATATATATAGTAAGGTCTTAGCAATATGACTGTTATATAAACATTTTTTATCAAAGATTTCCTCCAAAATGTTTAATCTAAATCAAATTCCAACCTGAAGAGGAAGAGTGCCTTTTCCCCTAAATTTATCTGGAGTGGATATGATTAAGCTTAAAAAAATTTGCCAGAAAACAAGATGTTTTCATTTTTTTAATTTGTATTTTTTAAACTAAGAATGAGGCAGATCGTTTTAATTGTTCATAAGCCTATGATTCTGTCAGACCTCTCCACCATGCCCCGCCCCTCTGGGGTGGCCCCACATGGCATGGCTTAGTTTCATTGAGTTAGACAAGACTGTGGTCCCTGTGATCAGATTGGCTAGTTTTCTGTGATTATGGTTTCAGTGAGTCTGCCCACTTCCCTGGTTGCTCAGACAGTAAAGCGTCTGTCTACAGTGTGGGAGACCCGGGTTCATCCCCAGGTGGGGAAGATTCCCTGGAGAAGGAAATGGCAACCCACTCCAGTACTCTTGCCTAGAAAATCCCATGGATGGAGGAGTCTGCTGCAGGCTACTGTCCATGGGGTCGCAAAGACTGGGAACACGACTGCGAGACTTCACTTTCACTTCCCAACACCTACCGTCTTACTTGGGTTTTTCTTACCTTGGATGTGGGTTATCACTTTACGGCTGATCCAGCAAAGCGAAGCCGCTGCTCCTTACCTTGGATGTTTGGTTGCTCCTCTCGACAGCCGCCCCTGACCTCGAGTGTGGGGTAGATCCTTTCGGCCCCTCCTGCGCCATCGCAGCCCCTGACTTTGAGCGAAGGGTAGCTTCTCACGGCTGCGCTTGTGCGCGGTCCGTCGCAGCCGGCGCGCTTCTGCAAGAATAGCAAGGAGAGATAAGAAAGCCTTCCTCAGCGATCAATGCAAAGAAATAGAGGAAAACAACAGAATGGGAAAGACTAGAGATCTCTTCAAGAAAATTAGAGATACCAAGGGAACATTTCAGGCAAAGATGGGNTGACAACTGCTCTTTATTCTCACTACCTTACCAAATTCATCCCTTTTTAAAACTGGTACCTGGTGCTTGACTTTCTCTTACACGCATAGTCACTCCAGCTGGGACATCCAGGCCTCAGCTAATCTGAGCCTGCTACTCACTTGAGGATCACCCAGAACTGGGGGTTCAGTGCAAATACTTATTGTGTGACCAGTTCATCTTGAACTTTGGGAATGTTCTTCAGTTGTTCTGTTTCCAACTAGACTGTGAGTTCTTTAAAATCAGCTAAGTCAGTAAGCGGAACTTTTAAAAACAAAAACATGGTGATGCTTAGATGGTGGTTTCAATATGGCAGTTACTTAACATACTGTGTGGATGGGCAGTGACCATTAGTAGCCAGAGGTCAGTTTCTACAAGGGCCAGCAACATCGCACAAGCAAAAGTATGATGAACCTGTCTGAAAAGCAGAAACAGAGACACAGACGTAGTAACAAACATATGGCTATCAAGGAGGAAAGGGGCGTGTGAGATGAATTGGGAGACTGGGATTGACATATACATACTACTGACACTCTGTATAAAATACGTAACTAAGGAGAACCTATTGTACAGCACAGGGAACTCTACTCAATGCTCTGTGGTGACCTAAATGGGAAGGAAATCCAAAAAAAGGGGAGGAAGGACTGATGCTGAAGCTAACTCCAATACTCTGGCCACCTGATGGGAAGAGCTGACTCATTGGAAAAGACCCTGATGCTGGGAAAGATTGAAGGCAGGAGGAGAAGGGGACGACAGAGGATGAGATGGTTGGATGGCACCACTGACTCAATGAACATGGGTTTGGGTAAACTTAGGGAGTTGGTGATGGACAGGGAGGCCTGGCGTGCTGTGGTTCATGAGGTCTCAAAGAGTCAGACATGACTGAGCAACTGAACTGAACTGATTGCGTTCATGGAAGCAACTATAAAAGGCCAAGTAAATAACATGATACTTTTCAGGCATCAGAGAACATGGAAAACAGTAAGGACTAAATGAGCCACACTGAATAGGTGATAGGATTTTCCAAGGTGAGCCGATGTCCATTGGTTTTCCTCCTAGGACTTGCTGGGAGGAAGTGAAACCAGCCATGCTTTCATTGGTCATGCAGGGCCGGTGTCATAAACTGGAAACAATAGGCCCACAGAGCTGGCCTTTCTGCAGAGTTCTCGTACCATGAGGAGCTAGGCTGGAACCGCAAGGAGCAGTGAAATCTCCCAGGCTCACAGTGCTTGTAGGAAACAAGACTTACCACGAGTGGTGTCTCAAATCGGGACTTAGCCAATATCCTTTTAAAGACACTAGATTTTGAAGATGGTTGGGTGTTGGAGGACAGAATGCTGAACTGGGAGACCTTGCAGGGACGATCTAGGTCTGGATCTTCCTCGGAATCTCAGTGCTGAGGAGAAGGCTGTGTAACACACTCTTAATCAGAATCCCAGAAGGGTTCCATCTTAGAAAGATAGAAAGCTAGATATAGACAGAGATTTGTTACAACTGAAATTCAGTCCCAGCAAGCTCAATGTCTAATGTGAATTCAGTTCCTCAGCCTTTTCTTCTGTGTATCTGATAGGAGTGGGGGAATTCTGTCTGGTAGTATTCTAATTGCTTCAGTCGTGTCCGACTGTTTGCTACCCCGTGGACGGTAGCCCACCAGGTTCTTCTGTCCGTGGGATTCTCCAGGCAAGAATACTGGAGTGGGTTGCCATGCTCTCCTCCAGGGGATCTTCCCGACCCAGGGTTAGAACCCACATCTTTTATGTCTCTACATTGGCAGGCAGGTTCTTTACTACTAGGCACCACTCAGGAAGCCCAAATATTATAACAGATAATACCATTTGGAGCCTATACCTTTTTAAAATGTATACTACGTTCTGCATCTAATAAATATTCACAGACATATGAAAAGGCAAAAACATATAGCTGATAATCAAGATAAAAAAGCACAGGTGATACAGACAGACTCAGGAGTCATCCAAATATTCGATTTAGGAGAGAATGAAACATCAGGATGTCTGTAGTTGATTCAGGGAGGGAGAGACTAGCAAGAACCTAGCTCCCATCCCTGCAATAATGAAAAGCCCAACAAATCATGTCTATAGATTTTCTTGAAGCCATCAGAGAGCTTGAATGGATAGACACTTCATAAAAAAGGATATCCAAATGACCCTAAACATAGGGAAAGGAGAGTTTATTGGTTATGCTCACAAGAATGTGGGCAGTATTGTTATGGTTATGCCCACAAGAATACTGTGCAGTATTGTTGTTCTTGACCTATTGAGGATTCCTTAACAATAAGTTTATTTTATTGGTTTTGTGTCTGGGATAAGCTGCAGGATGGCAAGGAAGCTCTGCTCACCTTGCTTGGGGTCACTCCTGTGTCTGAGGGTTTCCGGCTGTCAGCTGAGGATACTGGGGCCCTTGACTCTGCTATAGCTGATTAACCTGAACCTGTCCTTTTTTTAAAAAAAATAAAAATTTAATAGGACTATAGCTACTTTACAAACTGTGTTAGTTTTTGTTGTACAACACCAAGAATCCCCCCTCTCTCTCTATATATATATATATAAAATCTCCCTCTTGAGCATCCCGCCCACCCTCCACCCATCTCATCCCCCTGGTCATCACAGAGCACCAGGCTACGCTCCCTGTGTGCTACACATCTGCATCCCACTGTCTACCTTACTCCTGGTACTGTGTGTATGTAAGTGCTCCTCTCAGTTCTTCCCCCCTTCTCCTTCCCCACCTGCCATGTCCGCAAGTTCATTCTCCAGGTCGGGATCTCTCTTCCTGCCCTGCAAATAGGTTCATCAGTCCTATATTTCTAGATACTGCATATATATACATTAGTATATAATACTTGATTTTCTCTTTCTGAAATACTTCATTCTGTATGACAGATTCTAAGTTCATCCCCATCACTATAAATGATCCAATTGTGTTCCTTTTTTGACTGAATAATATTCCATATATGGAATATATGGAGTATATATATATATATATATATACACCACCTTCTTCTATATACACACCATCTTCTTTATCCATTCATCTGTTGATGCACATTTAGGTTGCTTCATGTCTGAACCTTTTCTTGCAGGAGGAGCAGAGTCACAAGAGTGAGAATAAGAATACACGAGGCTTTGGAACTAGTGCATGGTAGCCTGTTTATTGTATGGACGATTGACTATTGACTATATAGTCAAGCTCAGATTCAGGGGATGGGTAAATAGACTCTGGCCCCTTTAGTGAAAACTGCAGAGTCACAAGGTAGAGGGTATCATTACTGACATGGGTAAAGAAGGATGCTACTAATGTGGTCTAGATGCTCTTTTCTCTTTAGCTGATTTTATTCTCTTTCACTTGAGATTTCCTCCACAGGATAAAAAACACGGCTATCGTTAACTCTTGAACTTTACATCCTGTAGCCTCCACATCAGAGTTGGGCTGGCCATCTTCCTTTTGTTCTTGCTAGAAAAATCTCTGCCAAATGTTTCTGCCTGGGCTGACTTGGCTATCAGTCTAAACCTCCCCCTTTCAACATTTTGGCTACGGATTTGGGGTCATGGAATAAGTCTTGATTCTGGTCACCACATCTCTGTGTGTTTCTGGAACATTCTCAGTAAAAGGAAAATCACTGTAACCAAATGTATCCAGTTAATTTTTATTTATAATATTCTGTGTTTATAAAGAATCCAAAATATTTAGCAGATGTAATTGGAACAGTGCCTGACACTTAGGTATTTGATACATCTGGTTGTATGTGTTTCACTCAACAAATATTTGAGTTGAATGAGTGTTATTTTCCAAGAATTGTATTAGGTTTTCAGGATAAGTTAGAAAGTTAAGTCAACAAACTCCTTCTTATAGCTTATATATGTATTGTGAGGGTTAAACGGAGGAGTATGATAGATCTATAAAGAAAAACCTAAAAATCCTGGAAAAACTTGATTTGTGGATGGGTTTTTTAGTTGAGATAGGTTATTCAAAAGCATAATACTTCCGGTATGACTGAAAATGTAGATCATCTGTCAGACACGTTTCTTACACTATTAAGTTACACAGGGTGCTTGTCATACTAAAAGCATATACATAAAATCACTTGAACTGGAATTGCTTTTCTTCCTAATATAAATATAGCTTTTTAATTGAGGATTCACAGCCCAAAGGGAGTAAAAATATATATATATATATATATATATATATATATATTTGTCTAATCCTATTTCTAGCTTTGCATTGGTAAATTATTTGCTTCTAATCGTTTGGTGAAATAATGAGCAGATTTCATAAAAAAGTTTTTTTTACCACTTTTGCATCTTAGGGATCCATTCACTGTAGTCCTTTTTGCTACTGGCTACACAAATGCCTGGAAGCAATCTGTTAGAACACTCTGCAGAGACAAAACGACTCTCACCCCAAGTGTGGTTCAGATGTCCAGAGTGGTGATACTGCACATGAACCAGGAGTTTAATTCAATGTGATGAGGCTTTATAGAGAGGCCAAGGAAGCTCCAAGCATGTCCAGAAATGACCTATGAGAGCAGAGAAAGGAGAGTGGTTTGGGGTTTTCATTGTGGTTAGGGAGAGGAGCAGGGATGAGGTTTCCTTGAGAATAGGGGCCTTTGTGGTTTGAACTTCCTATTGGCACAAAAGAAGGAAACACATGTGCTTTTGTATCAGCTTGCCTACTGGGGAGCAGAAGAGAAGGAGGGGAGTGGGTGGGGGGCTCTTGACCACTGTCGGAAAACCCCCAAAATGAAGTCAGACTCTTTCTTCCACAGTCTAAGCCAAGATTCTTTTCTCTCTTTCTGTTTTTGCTCCTCCACTTGGGAGGGAAGGCAAATAGAGAGAGATTAAATGGAATAATAGAGTTTTTTTTTTTTTTTTTACTGAATAATAGAGTTTTTCATGCAATCTGAGTTCAATCTGAACAAATAACACAGAAACAGTTACTAAAAACTTTAACATAACTCAGCAGCAAAACCCCAAATAATATGATTAAAAAATGGACAGAAAACCTGAATAGATATTTTTCCAAAGAAGACATACAGGTGTCCAGTAACTATGTGA